TTATTTTGCGATGTTTGAAGTTTTATTTTTAGCGCCTTGGAGGTGCTATGGTACCATGATGTGCAAGCATAGTCATAGTACCCTTGAATGAGTGCTCCTGCCAGAGTTTTCAGGGTGTTTTTGTTTACCAGAGAGGAGATCCGGTATAGGAATCTAGTTCTTTGATTGACTTTTTTTATTACATTGGATGCCATTTTGTCACAGGAGAGGTTTGCCTCAAGAATAGATCCTAGGTATGTAATTTCCTTCTTACTTGTGACAATAATGTCGCCCACTGCAACTGAGAAGTCGTCGGATTTGCTGAGATTATGTTTCGAACCGAAGAGAATGGACTCTGTTTTACCCAGGTGTAATGATAATTTATTATCGGCGAGCCAGGTGCAGATTCTGCCGAGCTCGGAGCTGAGGGTTTTTTCAACCTGCAACCTGTTCCTGTCAGAGACCAGCAGGGCTGAGTCGTCCGCGAACAGGAACAAGTTGCAGTCACATGCTGATGACATGTCATTTACATAAATTAGGAACAGTAATGGACCTAATATGCTTCCTTGTGGAACACCACAGCTCACTGGGAGGGGGGGGGGACAGAGTACCGTTTACCTCCACCATCTGTTCTCTCCCCTCCAGGTAGGATTGCATCCAGCTCACCGATAGTTTATCAAAACCAATTGCTTTTAGCTTGTCAATCAGAATGGGGTGATTGACAGTGTCGAAAGCCTTTTGTAGGTCCAGCATCACCATGCCGCAGTACTTGCCCTCGTCCACCTCTTGTTTGATGTGGTCGCTCAAATAAAGAAGGCATGTGTCAGTGGAGTGGGATGTTCTAAAGCCAGATTGAAATTCATAGATTAGTTTATTTTCCGCGAGGTACTTTTCGACCTGTTCATATACTATTTTTTCCATGACTTTCGAGATGGAGGTAAGTATAGAAACAGGGCGGTAGTTGCCTGGGTCCAATTTGCTGCCCTTTTTGTGCAGGGGGGTTACTCTTGCAATTTTGAAGTCTTTGGGTACTTTCCCCTGTTTTATGGAGAGGTTAATTATGTGAGCTATGACAGGTGAGATGGCGGTTGCTGTGTCTCTGAGGAATTTGGAGGGGATATTGTCATGGCCAGTGGCCTTGTTAGGTTGGAGGGCGCTCAGTTTAATGAGTACCTCTGCTGTTGTTACCCTTGCTAGACTGAAATCATCTTTGCGTACCCCTAGGTTTTTGTAGTAGGTCATGATGTGATCTACTCCAAAAAGCCCTGAGTGGGAGGGTAATTTATTTACAAGAGTTGTGGCTATGTTTGTGAAAAAAATGTTCAAGTACTTGGCCACATCCAGTTTGTCTGTGATGAGCCTGTTATCTGTCTTTATGTTTAAGTTAGAAAATCTCGTTTTGAGTTTTTTACTGCAGCCAAGCTGGTTATTGAGTAATTTCCAAAGTTCACGGGGTTTATTTTTGTTTTCCTCAGTTTTGACATTGATGAAATTCTTTTTGGCAGTTTTGATCATGGAGCTAACGTAATTTCTTAGTCTGTTTCTTTCAATTTTGAGTTCAGTCACGTGGGCCTGGAGTTCACTGCTCGTGCTTTTGGAAAGCATTGACTGACTTTTATGAAACTCAGAGCATTTTTTGTCTCTGGTTTTCATGGCGGTCAGTATGCCGGAGTGCATCCACGGCTCAGCGCGATTTTTTACCCTGGTTGTTCTTAGGGGGGCCAAATCATTGAGTATTACAGAGAATTTGTTTTTGAAACCAAGCCATGTTTCTTCAACTTGTGTACCACTGAGCTCATCTGACCAGTCCAGGCTCTCCAGTTCTAGGTTAAAGGCCTCGCTAGAGTAGTTTTTGAGGTCTCTAGATATGACTGTTTTGTGACAGCCGGCCCTTTGTTTTAGCTTTTTGCGGGTACAGAATATCATATAATGATCACTTAACCCGCATGCTATAACCCCTTTACTGGAGATCCTGGACTTGTCAGAGGTCAGAATGAGATCAATGGTAGTTTGTGTTGTTTCACATACCCGGGTGGGTTGGGTGATTAGCTGGCTGAAGCCGTGCAGATCACAAATCCTACTGAAGGACTTGAAGACGGACGTGTCTTTACGTTGCATATCCGTGTTCCAGTCTCCAATAATAATTGTTTCTACATCCCCCACATCAGCCAAACACCCATCTAATGTATCATAAAAGTCACTCTGTTCCGGTGGTCTATAGATTGTCCCGACTATTACAGATTTAGCATTGTCAAAAAGAATTTCAACCCACACAGATTCAATATTTTCATGATGCAGGTCAGTACGGTTTTTGAAATTGGTGTCTTTATGTATGTACATGCAGACACCACCTCCATTCACGTTCCTGTCCCTTCTCACTACAAGATAATCTTCAATTTCAATCTCTGAATCTGTAATGGAATTGTCCAATTTGGTCTCAGAAAAGCATAATATGCTTGCCTTACCGTTCATGAATAGCTGCCTGAGTTCAGCCAGTTTGTGTCTCAGGCTGTTAGTGTTCAGATGAAAAATATGTAGTCCATTTTTGTTGCTTAAATGCACAATGTCGTCAGCTTGCAGATATTTGTCTTTGTCCGTTACAGCAACCGGCTTGTCGTGGTGGCGGTGTGTGGTGGTGGTGGTGGTGGTGGTGGTGGTGGTGGTGGTGGGGGGTGGGGGGTGGGGGGAGGGTGGCTCCTTTGTAGCTTTAGCCGTTGATATGCTAGCAGGGTGGCTAACAACATGGCTAACAACATGGCGGATATTTGTTCCCTCGGATCTCGGTTCTCTTCCTCTCGTCACTGCCTCATGCGTGTCTGTCTGCCGAGGCGTCCCCGGGGGAATCTCGAAGTCTCCGTTTATTCCTTGGTTTCCGCTGTCTCCACGGTCTCTGTTGTCGTCGCGTAGTTGTTGTTGCAGCGGAAGAGATGCTAGTTCTGATGTGAATGAAGCACCTCTGGAGACTCCCCCTGTGGGGGAGACCCAGGGGAATCCCCCCCGTGACCAGCTGACGCTAATGCCGAGCAGCTGCGTTACGGAGAGGGCTGTGTGGTTTGTGACACGCCGGAGGAGAGCTGTCAGTTTCTCACTCGCTGCCAGAGAGCGCTCTGCTGCTGGCTGAGTTTTTAATTCCACTCCAGATAACGTTTGTCTGAGAGGGAAGGGAACAGCTCTCCTTCCAACTTGTTATGAAACCCAGGCTTTGACAGATGCGATACGAGATGTACCGTCTGTAAAGCGACTTCCTCCCTGGAGCGAGCCAGCAACTAGCAGGTCGTCCAAAGGAAACCACCCTCTCATCCCTCCTCTGTGTAGCGGCTCCAGCCTTCTCTACACAAAAATGGGAGGAGCCAGGAAATATCCAAACGGCAGACGATTGTCTGGTCTGATATTCCCTGAAATGAGAAACCGCAGGAATTTCCTGTGTTTCGGGATGATGGGTGGAAGTATGCATCCTTCAGGTGGAAGTGAACCAGTCGTCCTGGTGAACACATTCCAGCCCCTGTTTGATCGTCAGCATGTGGAATACTGACAGATCGAGGATGTCTCATTGCCCCAGTCTTTTTCGGGATTCGAAAAATAACGGGAGTGAAAACCCCTGATGTTCCTCCCTTTGAGGAAACCTGGAAATATCCTCTTTCAACAGGAGTTCCAGCAGCTCGGATTTGGAGCGCAAGACATAGCTTCTGGGAGGACAGGAGTGTTTCCTGTATCCCATTGAACTGTGGGGGGCTTTTTCGTCACCACGCTGCGGGGTGTGACACGTCGAAGGAGAGCTGTCAGCGTGTCCACTCCACTCTCTGCCGTGAGAGTCGTGCTCTCATGCGGGCTGAGTTCAATTCCACCCAGGTAAACAATACTCTTATCTGGGCTGGAATGGGACAGCTCTTTTCCCAATTTATCATGAAACCCAGCTTTGACAGATACGATATGAGTTGTACCGTCTGTAAAGCCGCTTCCTCCCTGGAGCGAGCCATGCAGCAGCAGGTCGTCCAGGTAAAAATAGTACTCTCATCCCTCATCTGTGTAGCGGCTGCAACGCCGTCTCTACACACTTTGAAAAAGTACGAGGAGCCAGGGAATAGCCGAACGGCAGACGGTTGTACTGGTACGCTATTCCCTGGAATGAAAACCGCAGGAATTTCCTGTGTTGCGGAATGATGGGTACATGGAAGTATGCATCTTTTAGGTCTATAGAGGTGAACCAATCTCCCTGGTGAACACACTCTAGCACCTTTTTGACCGTCAGCATGTGAAACAGGTCGAGGATGGGTCTCATTCCCCCTGTCTTTTTCGGGATAAGAAAATAGCGGGAGTAATACCCCTGATTTTCTTCCTCCTGGGGAACCCTGGAAATAGCCTCTTTCAACAGGAGTTCCCGTAGCTCTGCTTGGAGCGCAAGACACTGTTCACGGGATGTTAGGCATGTCACCTGTATCCCGTTGAACTGTGGGGGGGGGGAGGCGAACTGCAGGGTGTACCCTCTGCTGATCAGCCTGTTCATCCATCTGTCCATCAAACACATGCGCTGCCACGCCGAGAAACACTCTGACAGCGGGCGCGCATGCTCGAGATGTGTTGTGGTTGTCATGACGACGAGCCACGCCAGAGCCCTCGCCGCCGCTGCCCGTGAGGCAACCCAAGGTGGGCCTAGAGCGAAAGGGCTGTGCGGAGGCCTCCACACGCTGCGTATCACTCCGCCTCACATCATGAGGCGTGTACACGCTCAGAGGATGGGTGGAGGTGTGTGCAGTAATATCCACATGAGGCGTTAACACTGCGCTCCTGGGCTTATTATGACCGTGTATAGGTGGCGTATCTCGGACAGAAGAATGCCGCGAGGTCTGTGGTTTAATAACCGAAGAGTCATAACCATCAGATCCCTGCAGCGAACCCTGCTGCCTACTAATCACCAGATTGAAGGCAGCTGGTGTAATTACTGTGCTCCGCAGCTTATTAATCGATAGATTAAATAGCGCAGGCTTTTGTACCGAACCCGGCTGGCTATTAACCGATAGGTCATGGCAGCTGGCTCACCGGCCAGAGTGGGGGATATGTGAAACACATTTGAAACTGATGACTCAGCCAACATGTTGGGAAATAATCTTCTTTTATTTTCCTCACACTGTCTCCCCAACCGTCAAGGCCGCTCTGCTTCCTCGGCGGCTCTCATGGAGCAGACGCCGAACGGGAGTACCTCACTCCCTTTTTACCCCCCCTCTACTGGTGGGGGGGCGGAGGCCCCATGAGGCAACCCAAGGTGGGCCTAGCGAAAAGGCTGTGAGGACGCCTCCACACGTTGCATTCACTCCGCCTCTCATCATGATGCGCGTACACGCTCAGAGGATGGGTGGAGGGGTGTGCAGTGATAACCACATGAGGCGTTACCACGGCGCTCATGGCTTATTGTCACCGTGTGTAGGTGGCGTATCTCGGATAGAGGAATGCCGCGAGGTCTGTGGTTTAATAACCGAAAGTTATAACCACCAGAACCCTGCAGCGAACCATGCTGCCTACTAATCACCAGATTGAAGGCAGCTGGTGTAGTTACTGTGCTCCGCAGCTTATTAATCGATAGATTAAAAAGCGCAGGCTTTTGTAACGAATCCTGCTGGCTATTAACCGATAGGTCATAGGCAGCTGGTTTACCCAGAGTGGGGGATATGTGAAACACATTTGAAACTCATGACTCAGCCAACATGTTGGAAAATAAGCTTATTTTTATTTTCCTCACACTCCCTCCCAAACCGTCAAGGCCGCTCTGTCTCCTCGGCAGCTCTCATGGAGCAGACGCCGAACGGGAGTACCTCGTTCCCTTTTTTTTTTTACCCCCCCTCTCCTGGTGGGGGGGCGGAGGCCCCGCGAGGCAACCCAAGGTGGGCCTAGCGAAAAGGCTGTGAGGACGCCTCCACACGTTGCATTCACTCCGCCTCTCATCATGATGCGCGTACACGCTCAGAGGATGGGTGGAGGTGTGTGCAGTGATAACCACATGAGGCGTTACCACGGCGCTCATGGGCTTATTGTCACCGTGTGTAGGTGGCGTATCTCGGATAGAGGAATGCCGCGAGGTCTGTGGTTTAATAACCGAAAGTTATAACCACCAGAACCCTGCAGCGAACCATGCTGCCTACTAATCACCAGATTGAAGGCAGCTGGTGTAGTTACTGTGCTCCGCAGCTTATTAATCGATAGATTAAAATGCGCAGGCTTTTGTAACGAATCCTGCTGGCTATTTAACCGATAGGTCATAGGCAGCTGGTTTACCCAGAGTGGGGGATATGTGAAACACATTTGAAACTGATGACCCAGCCAACATGTTGGAAAATAAGCTTATTTTTATTTTCCTCACACTCCCCCGGTGCCCCGGCAGCCGCTGACGGACGATTCTGACGCCTCGGCTGCTGTTGCTGCTGGTGTCTGTCCGTCTGCCGCTGTGGCCGGGTTGGCTGCTGCTGCTGCCGCTAGTGTCACTGCTGCTTCACCGCTGGCTGTCCTCGCCTGGGACACCGCCATGGCTGCGCACAGCGACGGTGGTGTGTTCTGGATGGGCTCCTGCCCACCCCAGACGTCTTCCTCACCCGCAGCAGCTAGAGCGTCCGCCCTTCGCTTCCTGTCGGATGAAGGAAGACGCACATAGTGAGGACATGCGACCTGCTGGCTGAGAGCCGCGTCCGCGTGCTCTGGCCCCAGACAGGCTGCGCATATCGGATGCAAATCGTAGCTCATAATGTAGCCCGTATTGCACGAAGGGCACATACGGACACACTCTTTATTGCTCATGATGTTGCTTTTCTCGTGCTTCAGTAAACTGCTGGTTGCTGAAGAAAAGAGGGAGCAGATCGCCGGGCAACCTCCCTATTTATACCGGAAGGAGGCCCGAGGGTGGGGCCCACCTAGCGGGTGGGCGTGGACTACAAGTGTTTTCAGTACTGCGCGGGGGCGCAGAAGGGTAAACCCAATAGCGATAGCCTTAGAGGGCGAAGCCATATACGAAATAGAACCTGAACAAACCACACACACACACAAACACACGGCACCCCACGTGATGTGGAGGGGTCGTCACACTATATAAACAGGTACAGCACAGTGCTGCACCATCGGTGTCGGATTTATTAAAACAACAACCTTGTAACTGAGAAACACTTAAATGCTACATTTCAAATGTTTACAATCCATCACTAAATTCATGGCAAACCAATTTTAACATCATGCAATAACACTAAGACGACATTAGTTGCATTGAACTGATCTTTTTAATAAGTTGTACTAACAATGTAGTGAGAAACATGGGCTTGTGCTTCACTGAGGATCTTTGTTATTCTCAGTGACAGGAAGGCCACTGCAGTTATTACACTTCGCGTTTTGAAATATGTGTAACTCTGTTAATATAAAACCCACACTGCTCAAACTTCCTTACTTTTCCTAAAATTGGTATTTTAATTTTTTTTCATTAACATAAAAATAAATCTCACGTACCCCCTGCAGTACTCCAACGTACCCCTAGGGGTCCGCGTACCCCCATTTGAGAACCACTGCGCTAGAATTTCAAAGTACACAACCGGAAAAAATCTGCCACTTCCTTACAGAGCCCCTCCTCCAACACACACGAACGCGCACATGACCAATGAGGGCATGAGATAAGTTTGTGCAGAGATGGAAGGCTGACAGGCAGGTAGGCCATCCAGTTATTTTAGCCGGGCCGGCTAAAATGATTGGTCGTGCTTTTTAAAGCGCCACGGCTTCCACAGATGACATTTTTCTAGGACACGTTTGATTCCTGTTTTGGATAGTGTGCCATCGATGGGTTTAATTCCATTTCAAAGTGCTGTTTGACGCTTGGTGTAAACTTCACGCACTGCCACTCCAACATCCAATCACAGAGCTTGAAGACTGATCACGGAGTTTGTCAAGCAAAGCAAATGGTGTAGTCCCAAACGATAGCTGAGGATTCTGGGTAGTGTAGTGTTTTCTGCCATCCTAAACTCCGAAAAAATATTTGTTTCTCCGAATCGAAGGGGGAAAATACAAAAGCATTGTACACAAGGATAATTTGGTGTTTTTGAGTTGATGAGTAGTGCAGATATCACTGTAAAATCAATCGACAGTAAGGAGAATACTTACTTCCGGGTGTAAAATCCTCCGTTATCCAATGGGAATCGACGCTCACATTGCCTTTAACTGCCGCCGACATGGACCGATGCGGTGCTTCCATGAGCGCCAAATACCGCCGCCGATGGGAATACATTGCAATCAGTTGAAAGCTCTTTGCGTCCGTTTATGAAGCTGAAGGAGACTCGGCGCGTCACAACTGCACGCCAAAGGACCCTGACCAAGCGTCGCTATTGGGCTATCAGGGAGTGAGGCTTGTTCAAGGCTTGTTACGACGAACACAATCTAAGCTTTCAGAATATGTAAAGCTTGTGTAATTCTAAGCAGGTGAAGGATAACTGTCACCCTGTTTAGTTTGGAAATTAGCTGACAAAAGCACAATGTACACTCTGATTGTGTCTGATTACTCTGTGATTAACCTTAATCATATATTTTGTTGCAGTTATCAAGCCTTTATTGAAGTATATTCAGTACTTTTCAATATTGTGGAGTTGGTTTAACCTGACTTTCTGTGTGTTTATTGTCTCACAAACACTGTCATTTAGTCAACCTTTTAATAACATCTCTGTGTCTACAGCTCAGTGTGACTGTGTCAAACACATGCATTGTCTCTCTCACAGACATGCAAATATCCTCCCATCTCCCTCTGTAAGGGATACAACTGCAAAAACTGTAGAGACTCTGAAAGCAGAGGATTCATGGGACATACTGGTGTGAATCAGACTCACAGTGGAATGTTGGAAACTACGCCAAGATTCACACAACCGTTGACTTGTTTTCTCCAGGCCTGTGAAACAGGTTGTTTTGAGTTGGCTTAATGTTCACCTTCTTATAAAATATAAGCAGAATACATTATTAAAGCCCGCGTCACACTGTCCCGAAATTGACACCCGATGGACATAATATGGAATTGTGAATTTCGCACGAAGATGGCCCGAACCACACACGAAGGCAATATTTACATTACATTTAAGACATACAACTGCAACGAAAGTAACAAAAACAATTATGTTAAAGTACTATGATACTGTACTGATATGTTCAGACTTTGTTCTTTACTTTATCCGTCTTTATATGTAGAAGATATTAAGTTTTCTCCGTAATGTTGTTTCCATAGCAACAACAACTTCCTGTCAACTCGCCTTCAAAATAATATATTATATCCTTTTCAGTTTCACAGAACACAAATTGGGTTATTTACATAATATGTTTACATGATTTTGTTGTGCAATAAAACAACCCGATGGACACACGATAAAGGAAATGACAACTGACAAATACCACTGGAAAACCTATCAACAGAATGTGTAAGTGTGATTGTGAAGCAGATGTGTTTTTTCAGGAGGTTTATTTTTTGACTCTCTTCTGATTTTTCCCCCTGAAGCAGTTATCTTTCACCAAGTGGTCTACATCATCCCTGCTCTGCTGCTCACAATGACATTCGCCCTGGTTATATGCAAAATGGACAAACGGAGAGGTATGTTTAACACACAGAAGGATTCACAAAGCATGAACACACACAGGCAACCACATCGACAAGTCGTGTAACCATTTCTTATGTTGTGTGTTTCCAGGAACAAGAGCCAATGTTAACAGAGACAACACCAATGAAGCAGCAATAGAGGAAGTGCTGGGTGAAGCAGTTGTAAGATAACTTAAATATAATTATGTAAAGTATAGTTTTTGGGTTTTATGAAGGATGTATTTCATATCACTGCAGTTGGCCTCATAGATTATATTCTATAATCTTTAGACATCATTTATAAGGCTGTTTGAGAAAAGTTATGGATCTGACAACAAGGGTTCGTCCTCCTGGGAGCATGATTACGTTTTGAGAATTTGAGAATAAGATACCTTCTCAAGATTTAGATATTTATTGGGAACAAGTGGACATATGGTATGATTATGGCATCAGAGAAAAGGTCAGGTGGTCACCAAAATTCCTGCCATGAAATGTTGTATGTATCATCAGGTCAGAATTTAATTTGTCCAATACTGAGGTTAAATACTGGCAAAACTCATGACATCCTGTTGGAGATTTGGAGGGATAACTGGTCCGCTTTTCAAATCTCCGCGCGTTCCTATGAAGCTGGTTATAATACAGGAAGGAATCCATATCTACAAAGTAACCGTTAACAATAATCTACTTTAATGGCAATATGACAATGCAATACAATCATTACAATACAACATGATATATTACAGTTATATTGCAATGCTTAAGGAGTAATGCCGGCTTACTCCTGCTCTAGTCCGCATACTGCAGAGCTACTTTCACCCGAGCGCAGCATGTGAAGAAGAGGCCGAACGCCAGGGATCCTCCGGAGATATACCAGAGTAAGAAGGAGGGGTTTGGTGTTAGGTCAGCTGGTCATCTTTTCAGGTCATCTCATTGGGAGACGCAACGCAGCAGGAAACGCAGCAGGAAACCAAACAGGCTCACTTTCCAACAAAAGGTCTCAAGGCCTGCATACCTACACCTCCCCCACAGAGCCATAAAACCCTGTTTACTCCAACCAGCCCAGAATGTTTATAGCCATTTGTAGTCCTTACATTTATGAAAGGATAAAACAGAGAAATCAATATAAAACACAAACACAGGTATTGTTTGAACAGTATTCACTTAACTGCTACTATTGATAAGCACCAGAGAAACCCAAGAGACCTCTCTTAACCTCACAAAGACTGCAGCTAGATCTAAGTTGAATGCAAATCAGGACATGCTTTCACCTTCCCCCATCTTCCTTTGTCCTCAAAAACACATGTCAACAGGCCCCAAATGCAGCTCACAGTTTTACCCAAATTATTCTCATTTTAAGCTTATCCATAGTTTGCTAACATGAATAAATACAAATATAACTCTACAAATCCCCCTTTTTATCTCCTTCTCCAGAGATAAACTTAGACAAGGCATTTTGAAATATACCCACGGTCATTCTTTTCTACTGTGTCCGTAAATCCATCCGAAGCTGGTATTCAGAGTACTTGAAACCTTCATGGAGACCGAACACCACTTTCCATGGCAGTGAAGGAACCATGAGGGGGTAGCTGAGTGCTAGAATCATCAGCCCCCCCCCCCCCCCTCCCTCGGAGGAATAGCCCACAAGGACAGCTAATAGGGAGGGGGAGATGCAGCTTTCCCTTCACGGGTAGAACTGAGTAGAACCGAAGTAGAATCCTCTGCTGCGCCGTCCTGGCTTGCGGTGTCTTTGTCCACCCAATCCGCTGACGGCAGCTTCTGGGCTGCCTGCTAGAGAGATGTCTTCCTCCTCCTCGTCCTGCTGATGGCGGCTTCCGGGTCGATGCTGTAGAGATGTCTCCAGGGTCCTCCTTCTCCGGCCCGCTGATGATGCCTCCCGGGTCGTCTGCTGTAAGGATGTCTCCAGGGTCCTGCTCCTCCAGTCTGCTGCTTCCGAGTAGTCCACGTCTGCCCGGGCCACGTCCGTCCTGATGTCGTCCCCTGGTCCTAGCAGGTGGTTTCCCCGCCGCACACTGGCTCCCGTGGTACGAGCTGTCCCCCTTTTCTCCCAGGCAGACGGCATAAGAGGTCCGCTGGGTCACTCGGTCGGGGTCGGAGAGCCTGGGGTTGAGCCACTTTGTCCTCGTGCTTCTCGGGTCCCCCTTGCCGGTGACCTGTGTGGAGAAATCTGATACAACTCCCTCAAGCCTACGCTCAGCTGTTTTGACCCACTTGGAGCCTGTTGGTGGGGTGTCTTGAAACAACAGCCGTCTGTGAACAGGTTTTCCAAATTAATTGTAGACCTCCTATCTGCCAGTGCAGCTTCAGAATCTTAATACTTGGATTGTGCCAACTAAATAAGAACCTCAACATCTTTAGGTAAACTAAATAACATATTTCAATAGCTCTGAATTTCTGACAAGCATCTGTGTTTTATTTTTAAATGAAATCCTATTTAAAATCCAAATCTAATATGAACTGCTAATGTTTCTGGTAAAGAAACACACTAATGTTATGGATTCAAAAACAACCAAAATCACGATGCTAACAAAGTGAATGATTTCCTGGTGATACTGCTTCTACCTGTCAGTGCTTAGATATTATCACGCTGAAAAAATGAATACAGAATTCCAACAAACTGTCATCAAATGTCTTTCTATTATAAATTTAGATTAAATGTATATCCCTATAATGACCTAAATAATAAAGTATATGGCTCTTACTTCTTTACCAGGCTAGTTACAGGATGTTGTCTAAATTAAATTCTGTCTCAATACACTACTATGTTTTAGCTTTAACTGTAATATGTTCTTTCTACATTTCAAACCTCAGTTACTCTAATGTCTGTTAAAATATTACAAAATTGTTTCACTATCACAGGTCAACTTCTTCGGTTTCACAGTAGCCCCTTGGCCACTGCTTCTTTGTTACCTGTTATAATTCAAATCAATATTTAGAAACATCTCAACATTCATCAAACAGTATCTTATCCCCAGATATGGAGCAGGTTAATTACATTCAATGCTCAATCCTTAAAAGAAAAATTTAAATTGTGAATTTTACAGCCATGTTGACATTTATACATTATACTCACTCCCCCCTTTTACACATGAAATCATGTGTAACAAAAGCCTGTAATGGGAGGGGAACAAAAACTGTCAGGTAATTGGTTAGGAACATAACGAACATTATTATCATTATTTCCACAGTGAACACTTCAGTGAAAAGAAGTGTTCCTCTCCGTCCTTCAGGCCTAAAAGAAACAGAATCTTCAGATTGTAGTTTTACATTTGCCAACCGCCAACTCATGTGAGAGGAAAATATCACATGTGCGGTTTCCCCTTTTTGTGGAATTTTTAGGAAACCTCTCGTTTCCCTTGGAGCTCCAAAATAATATGTTAGTCCAAAAACATGCTTGGTTAGTTATTGTTTTAGAATCATGCAGTTACACTGATCACATGCCGGCATACATTCACACTCACACCGTCTGGTTGTCATGTCAAGTTTGGTCAGGTTCACCCCAGAGTCAGTCATCCACAGTGCCTTGTCAAGTTACACTGTCGGTCAGGGTCAAAGGTCAGTTGGTCTCCGTCTTTTTTGGCCATGTGTCGTGCTCTGCAGAGACTTTGACATTTCAGCATAGGCCAGTATCCTTTGTCTACAAAAATATGTCACGATTTCAACTATAATTTTCAAGATGATTCTCACTTGTCATTGGGACTTCCGCCTCCCACTTTTCCTGAAACTTGGTACAAAACTCACTTCCTTCGAGTACCACTACTAATTAAAATGTCTAATGATCTATTTCAGAAACTTGTGTACAATAACTATTATCTTGAGTCAAAACATTACTAGGATCTGTGTCGCTCTGCATTTCATAGCTCATTATAATTCTGGTCTACTTAAAAAACGATGTTAAACTCTTTAGCAGTGTGTGGAACCTTGGGTGTCCGAACATGCAACAATTACTCCCTCCTTTATCAAGGATTTAAAACCGAAGTCTGGTAATAACTATGCCACAATGGTGAAATCAACACTTTAGATTGGAATTTAATATGTGGCTTGGCACTAGCCATTAATACAAACAAAGATTTGTCCTATAGAGTGGTTCCTAAAACTATCCTTTTAATGGTGATCAATATTGTAACCAATGAGACCGCTACTTTATTCACACGTGAATAAAGATGTCTTAAAGAATGAATTGTTAACATGATGAAAATATTGAAGAATATGGTTCTACTCTGTCAGTGTGTTTTAGGATGATTATCATTTTACTTTAATAGTTTCCTCTTTACTGCTATTTTTAATTTACCAAATGATTAATAAATCTTTCTGTCTTTATGAAGTTAATTCAAGTTATTTAAATGTGCGTTTCGTGAATAAGTGTGTTTATGTGTAACTCACTCATTCCCGTTCTCCTTTCCTCCTCCCCTGGTTTTCTCAAGCCGTGACCCCGGCCTCCTCACTTCTAATCGACCATGCCAACTCCTCTGATTCTGTCTTCTCTTCAGTCCATCAGCTGTTGAATCCATCCGCTGTAACTTTTGTAGGCAGCCATTGGCCCAGTCACATCTGCAGCCCCATCATGCCACTGTTGTTGCACTCCTCCTTTACAGTCTCTCTGCTGTTTTTATGGAGGGCGGATTCTGCTCTCATGTCTATTGTGCCAAATCTCGCGGCGCAGTTTGGAACTTCATGTCCTGTTTGAGGGACCGATGAGAGTTTGCCTCTTTGTCAGCATACTGGTTTGGTTCTGGATGCCTCAGGTCGTTGTTGGTTCAGCTCTGGTTCTCTGTCTGTACGATGGAGAAGGAGGAGTCTCCTGTTGGGTTAGGTCTCGTTGTCTGCTTGGAGGGTCGGGATCAAAGCCTTTCTAACTCAGAGGGGGAGTCCAGGTCCCGGTACACATTACCTATAAGAAGTCTAGCACACTGATGTTAAATAAATCCAACCCTTTCCACTCTGTCTCTTTCTAATCATACTATCTGTCTTAGTTGTTAAATGCCATCTAAACAACATAATTAATGTCTACTTATGATATTACAAAAACTAACTCCAAAAATTGTTTCATCCATTGTTACATATTTACCCAACACAACTCTGAAATACTTACATGTTTCCAGCATCACATATTCCACACACTATGAAAGAACATCTCCATATCTTCTCTCATTTTAAATCCCACTGTTACTTCGAACAATAGTAAACCTGCAGAGCACACCAATCGGATCACAGTAATGAAATTTGAATCAAGTGTAGGCCTATGTCTTCTTTCTGAACATTTATTTATATTGTCTACATTTGCAAACAGTTCGAGTGTAAAATGTGTTTTGCACAATGTATTTACACTCTACAGATTCTTGAGTTTACTCATCTCCTGGTGCTGTCGTTGTAAAAAATGTTCAATCCCTTATTGTTTTGTACCAGTTTACCAAACAATACCGGCCAGCAATGTAATGATTAAACTCTAAGCTCGCATAAGTTTCAAGGGTGTGATACCCCCTTTCAGCCACTAGATGGCAGCAGCAGAAGTTTCAAGGGTGTGATACCACCTTTCAGCCACTAGATGGCAGCAGCAGAAGTTTCCAGACAAAGGGAAACGCTCTACCTTGGTTTAATATATAACAGACCTCTGGCTTTAAGCTTTTAGCATTGGTCTGTTATTTAAACCCCAGTTTTAAACGGCGACTCGATCTGATATATCGAGTTTTCAGGTTTTGCCGTGCAGGATTCAAACCTCGCATTCACACAAACTGCACCATTTCTACGCCACTCAGGAATATTCACCTGCAGATCCGCGCCAAACTGCTCTATTTACGTCACGCAGGACTTCCGTCTACCTGTCGATCCACGTTTACGTTTTGTATATAACTTTCCTAACATAGTAAAATATGCATTGTATATTCCATTTAAACTATAAAAACACTGTGAAACGCCTACAGACAATCCTAAAGTTTTAGCGTATCCAATTACAGACAGGCGACTTTCATCGTCTGCTTACCTTATTTGCAAAGTTGCAGAGTCCTGCTGATTGTCTGAGATGTTTGAAAGCGTCTGAATTCTTCCTCCGCTTCGTTATCTCTAGACGTCGGGGTCACCATTTTGTTGGAGATTTGGAGGGATAACTGGTCCGCTTTTCAAATCTCCGCGCGTTCCTATGAAGCTGGTTATAATACAGGAAGGAATCCATATCTACAAAGTAACCGTTAACAATAATCTACTTTAATGGCAATATGACAATGCAATACAATCATTACAATACAACATGATATATTACAGTTATATTGCAATGCTTAAGGAGTAATGCCGGCTTACTCCTGCTCTAGTCCGCATACTACAGAGCTACTTTCACCCGAGGGCAGCATGTGAAGAAGAGCCGAACGCCAGGGATCCTCCGGAGATATACCAGAGTAAGAAGGAGGGGTTTGGTGTTAGGTCAGCTGGTCATCTTTTCAGGTCATCTCATTGGGAGACGCAACGCAGCAGGAAACGCAGCAGGAAACCAAACAGGCTCACTTTCCAACAAAAGGTCTCAAGGCCTGCATACCTACACCTCCCCCACAGAGCCATAAAACCCTGTTTACTCCAACCAGCCCAGAATGTTTATAGCCATTTGTAGTCCTTACATTTATGAAAGGATAAAACAGAGAAATCAATATAAAACACAAACACAGGTATTGTTTGAACAGTATTCACTTAACTGCTACTATTGATAAGCACCAGAGAAACCCAAGAGACCTCTCTTAACCTCACAAAGACTGCAGCTAGATCTAAGTTGAATGCAAATCAGGACATGCTTTCACCTTCCCCCATCTTCCTTTGTCCTCAAAAACACATGTCAACAGGCCCCAAATGCAGCTCACAGTTTTACCCAAATTATTCTCATTTTAAGCTTATCCATAGTTTGCTAACATGAATAAATACAAATATAACTCTACAATCCCCATCAGTCTCTGTCTTAGTTCTGATGAGCAAATGTTGTAGCATGTCAGTATTGACATTGATCATGTTAGCATGCAGATGTTAGCATTTAGCTTAAAGCACGGTGAGCATTAGGGTAGATTCTCCTTATTGTGACATCATGGTGGCAGATGAAAGGCCAGGGGGTCATTAAAATGATTAATAATTATTCTAATCAGCCAATGAATATGTATATCACATTTCACTTCAATTGAACCTATAAATAGAAGGAATTCTTGAATTACTGATCACATTTAAAAGACCTATTTTTATGTGCATAATAATATGAATTTTGATCAGAGTATAAATTCTCTTTTTATATTTGTTGATTCTTTTTTAGATTTATGCAAACCAAGAGTTGGTGCTCTCAGAAAAGTTGCCCACCAAACAGCGGCGTGCCTGTCAACGCAATGAGTATGCAGGTGAAGACCAACAAGACTCTGTGTACCGCAACATCTCCGCATCAGAGGATATCTACTGCAATGACATTTACATAAACAGTTAGCCATATGAACAGCATGCACCGCTGTGATCATCTTCTCATTTCTAGGTCACATTTGTAACCAATGATGTGCTGATGATGTGTTCAGGAGCAACAAAGATATGTATTTTATCAATAATTACCATCAGTTATATTTGTATTCATTGCTTTATTAATTGCTTTAACTTTACTTTTGCTTTTTACTTATGTTCAATATGAAGGCATGTTGTTAATATACCAACTGTTTAACACACCTGCACTTCCAACAAGAAACTGTAAATAACCATTTAAACTTATTATTATCTATGGTAAGTTACCTTCATGGATATATGTACCTTAAGCGACCTTGGGTATATGAAAGGCGCTATATAAATGTAAGTAATATTAAGTGTGATAAAATGAAAACAATGGATAAATAAACAAAACCAAGAAAATCCAGTCTATGTTGAAACACTACATCACCAGGTTATTTGTTTTTGAAAATATGTTCATATATGTGCATAATATGCATATATTCTAAAACAAAATATTACTCCTTGTTATTTAGTTGACTCATTATTTATTTTCGATGTAATAGACTAAGATTTTAATTAATCTTTCATTCTGCATGACTTAATTCCAAGGAATTTATGAGCACATCTCTGTAATCTGTTAATTAAAATATCTTATTACTTAGTCAAGATAACTTTAATTAGTTGAGGGCTAACTTGGATTAAGCACGATAAAAAAACTATAACAATTCTGGGGTTACATTTGATTTCACACATCATAGTTTACCTAACCTGCATGTCTTTGGACTCGGCTAAAGAACATGTTATCGTCACACAGAAGAGAGTTATTGCTCCCGAATTAAAGAGCCCAATTTATGTGAAGCTTGTATACATGTGAATCAAAATGTTGATCTCACAAGGATCAGAATCAGAATACTTTATGTATGTTGTTACAGCAGAAAAAGAGCCAAAGACAGCTTAATGTTACGTAGAAGCCAGCAAAAAAAGTATTAAAGTAAAAGAAAAGTTATAATATAATAACAAATATAATAAAATAAAAAGTTACACAATTTACAAAATACACATCTTGTAGCAGTTCTAAGGATTTAGCAGCCAGGCATATATTGCAGTTATTAACGGCATATACATATATTGCATATATAGCACATAGTTGGTTGGTATTTAACAGCAAGGGGTTTTCTAGCACGCTATTGGTAAAAATGAGGAAGTGCTGACACTGCAGGTGTGATATTTACCCACATTATATTTTGTACATTTTGTACTTTGCTGTATGTGAGAAACAAATAGTTCACATTAATTTATTGAGAGAAATCTAAGCAATTAAGTGTTAAACCCCCATACATTGTAATGATCCTTTGTTTCACAACCACATTTCAACAATCGACACATATCTACGGTAGGCCCAAAAAACTTCCATTAGGAGAAAAGCGCTTCCTGTACCACAATGCAGATCAAAAATAAAAAGTGCAAATAAAACGTACAAATGAAGAAACACCTTCATGTAAGTGTTTTGGGCCGTTGAAGCGTGTTTGCACGGGTCAGCCACTTCACATAGCACTGTCAAACATATCAAAAGTATGTGTGTGTGTGTGTTCCTTACTTATGACCCAACAGTGAGACAATGACCCTATTTCAAATGAAACAGGAACATGAAACAAATGCTTGGAACTCAGTCGGGGTGTTAAGTGCCACTTCTGCTGTGATGGTTTGAAAATATATGTGTGAGGAGTGTGCTATTTGTGTGCCTTTTTTTAGGAAGTGCACTGTATTCTGTATTTTTTTCATATGTTATACTGACTAACACTTTTAAAGTTGCTATTGTAACTCCTGTCTTCCTGATAGTGGCATTTTCCCTGGTCATAATTTATCAATTCAAAGTGAAGGGTGTGCATTACATACAGACCATGTTCAAACACACACAGTCCTACACACATAACTGTGACTGAATCTGGTGTGTTGTATGAATGCGTGTTCATGCAGGAAATGAAGTCAGCATGTGCTGAATTGTAACAAAGATTTGATGGGAGTGTAATCTGGATTCTGTAGAAAACAAAACTTAAACCAAATGTCAGTAGTGGCTTCAATAATCCTTACACTCCTAGAGACAAAAACATGGCGCACAATGAAGCCTTCTGCTTGTTCTGGTATTCATCAAAAGGTCTTATAACCTGGAAATGGTTAATGTGTTTAGAAATGTATATTGAGTAATGTGTGTGTATTTTTTATTACATTACTTTTATTTATGTCATTATTACAAACTCTATTATCTTTATTATCACCTGTGAAGAGGATGTAAGTTCACAGGTTCAGCAAGAATAAAATACATTACAAAGAACAGCAGCAAGCTACAACTACTCTGTACACTAATTAGAGTTTGAGTGGATCCTAGATATTTGTATTATTCATGATCCATTACTATATAACCTACTATGCAGTAGCGTAGGCCGAAATGTACTTTAAGATGGGCCTATAAAAAATAGGGTGGGCCAGATTTTTCTTCTGCGCATCGCATCAGAAGCTAACAACAATCCCAGCCGGTACCGGTGGCATACTTGCCAACCCTCCCGATTTTCGCGGGAGACTCCCGATTTCATTGCCCTCTCGCAGTTTCCTCCCATATTTCTCCCGCATTTCTCCCGATTTCTGACTAAATCAGATTTACACACGACTGTTTCCACTCTGACTTTAATACAGCTACACCATTCTTTGGTTTCCATGGTAGTGCGTCTCTTTAGTAGCGCGCGCAACTGAAAAGAGGTTTCTCAATTCTCCTCGACTCCACTCCTCAACTCCTATCCTCGATACTTAGTCCCGCCCACAGGAGATGCGAGCGGAGCACTGAGGAGGGGAACCGAGGAGAGAGGAGGGGAAGCAGCAGGCGATTAGATAAATGAGAACTCCTCTCCTCTGAGCGGTCATTTTAAAGAGACGTCCATTAATGATGACAGGAGGCACAGCAGCCCTCTGTCTGATGGACAGATGTGTTCATGATGACTTATATATTTACTTTGATTCATTGACAGTGCGGTATAATGAGACAATAACAGGCTACAGATGCGGACACACACACACACACATATATTTATATAAATATATACAATTTCAGAATCAAACAAGTATGAGAGCACTCTCATTACGGCCCGTCCACACAGCAGCTTTTGGCGATTTGTCCACCGCTTCCAGCTCGTCTCCGCCCATTGACTTTGAATGGGGATGACGTCACTTTCCCTCGCTTGTCGCCGAACTGCATTGTGGGGGGGCGAGGCGAAGATTTCCAGGATTTCCAGGATGTTCAGGATTCCAAAGTTGAACAATGTTCAACTTTTGAGGCTGAGCTAGAAGCGACAGCCAATCAGATCCGTTTATGCAAATCTGACAGTTCAAGCGCTAGCCAATCAAACCGCGTGCAAGCTGGGAGAGCCAGACCGCAGTTCATTCTATATTCCTAACAAAAATGGAGGAGAAGTTAGTTGCGGTAGCAAATCACCCGGTTCTTTATGACCAGTCCCTATTTACTTACCGGGATACAAACCGGAGGAACCAGGCATGGAGGGAGGTGGCAGAGGCAGTGGGTGAAACTGGTAGGTTTTCACTTGTTTGGGGATTTTATATCCAGTTTACTTCGTTGCTAGTTTACTTCGTTGCTAGCAAGCATAGACAGTATCATTAGCCAGCATGGAATGTAGCATAAAATAGCACCATAGACATTAATCTCATAAATGTTTAAAGAAATAGTGGAGAAGAACCGGGGTTTTTTGCTTTGTATGTCGGGGGCGGGAGATTCATGTGATTGGTTGTTGGTCGCGAAATCCCCAAGCTTTCAGACACGCCCAGCTCCAAGATTTTCAAGATTTTTGAAAAGCTGCTGTGTGGACGTACCGTTCAGGCGAGCTTTTTGAGACCTCCCCCGGCTGCGATCGGCTATTCTCGTCTACTTTCGAGGCGAGCCGCAACGCGTCTCAAACAAGCCTACTATTTTAGAAACTGCTTTCATCGCGTCGCGATGTTTCCAGAGAGAACAGCTGCGAGGTCTATATCCAGTCTCTGATTGTGTTACGGCCCGTACACACAGCAGCTTTTGGCAATTTGTCCACCGCTTCCAGCGCGTCTCCGCCCATTGACTTTGAATGGGGATGACGTCACTTTCCCTCGCTTGTCGCCGAACTGCATTGTGGGGGGGCGAGGCGAAGATTTCCAGGATTTCCAGGATGTTCAGTATTCCAAAGTTGAACAATGTTCAACTTTTGAGGCTGAGCTGGAAGCGACAGCCAATCAGATCCGTTTATGCAAATCTGACAGTTCAAGCGCTAGCCAATCAAACCGCGTGCAAGCTGGGAGAACCAGACCCGCAGTTCATTTCTATATTCCACAAAAATGGAGGAGAAGTTAGTTATTGCGGTAGCAAATCACCCGGTTCTTTATGACCAGTCCCTATTTACTTACCGGGATACAAACCGGAGGAGCGAGGCATGGAGGGAGGTGGCAGAGGCAGTGGGTGAAACTGGTAGGTTTTCACTTGTTTGGGGATTTTATATCCAGTTTACTTCGTTGCTAGTTTACTTCGTTGCTAGCAAGCATAGACAGTATCATTAGCCAGCATGGAATGTAGCATAAAATAGCACCATAGACATTAATCTCATAAATGTTCAAAATGTTAAAAGAAATAGTGGAGAAGAACCGGGTTTTTTTGCTTTGTATGTCGGGGGCGGGAGATTCATGTGATTGGTTGTTGGTCGCGAAATCCCCAAGCTTTCAGACACGCCCAGCTCCAAGATTTTCAAGATTTTTGAAAAGCTGCTGTGTGGACGTACCGTTACGCGGACAGCCCGGAGTCGGCTTCGCCTTCTTCTTCTCTCGGTTTTTTGGCGGATTGCAAACAGCTTGAAGGTGGAATACCGCCACCTCCGGAGTCGGCTTGACTCGGTTTGCATTTATAAAGAATGCACACATGTGTTTAATCGTTAATGTCAGATATGTACTAAGTAAATACATTTGTTCCTGCTCAAGATTAGATTCAACTTTATTGTTATTGCACATATTACAGGTACTGAGACAACGAAATGCAGTTTAGCTTCTAACCAGGTGCAACAAGCACTGAAGTGAAAAGTAATGTACACAATCTATAGAATAAAATATAGAATGAATTGAATGATGAATAAACAGTGAGGGGTATGAATACACTAGATATCAGCCTGTGAGCAGTATGAACAGTGTGTATGAATATGCTAAGATATATAAAGTATGAAAACGGTAAGCAGTGCAAGTATAGTATAAAATATATGGATATTAA